TGGACATGGTCTCTGGTGAAGGACTCAGGTCTACAGGACTCTAGCAGTGGCGGTTTGGCGAATTTCGATCCTTCGCCATGAAGAAATAAACTGATGTAACTCAACTCCACATCATCAGATCTTCACCAGATTGCACATGTCTGATTAGACTCCAGTCCTGAAGACATCTGCAGGCCAATTTTGAATCATAGTCATAGCGCCACCTACTGGTAATAGGAAGTTAAAGTCTTTATACTTTGGCTTGTTTCTCTTAGTAGGTAAATCAAATCAACATCAAATTAGTTCCACACAAATGTAAGAAGTTCATAATACCAGTTCATGAAGCTTTTGATGTTTCGCTGAACGCCGTTGCCGTGGCGACGCAGTCTTCGCCGTGAAAAACGAACGTGTTTTTGAGGGGCTAAAAATGCTTGAAACATAAGCAAACTTGTCACACAGATTTAAAATCCTGAATGTAGTTATCTGATGTGATTTTAATGTTTCAGAGTGGCAAGTCGGCTCGATAGCGCCCCCTACAATATTTTGATGATGCAGCCCTCGCAGTATGTTTCACCTAGATGTATAAAATTTGCTAAGCAGATGTATCACATGTAGACTTAAAAAAAAGTATTAAGGGTCTAAGCTGTAAACCCAACCGGAAGTCAGCCATTTTGAATTTTGTATGAATTTCTCGTGGTTCTCTTCCATTTCCAGGTGCTGCACTACGAACTCCTCCTAGGGAATTAATCCGATCAGTTTAGAATTTGGTCAGAGCAATCTAAAGACCTTAGCGAATAAAAGTTACTAAAAGCTTTAGGTTTCATCGAACGACGTGGATATGGTGTGGCGGCCATTTTACATGGTTCACCATCATCCATCAAGCTGTTGTAACTCGACTGTACTTTGTCAAAACTGTCCCAAACTTGACATGCTTGTTGACTGTCATGGCTTTAGGACTTCTGCATGCCAATATTAACTCATTGTCATAGCGCCACCTACTGATAAGCACGGACATAAGCAGGATTCTATAATTACAGCGGCCCAAACATTGAACTTATTGAAAGGGTTTGTGGGCACACCATGAGAAAAAGACTTCTCTGATCTAAATATGTGCAAACTAAGATGCTTGGAGAGCAAACGTTAGATAACAGTGGATTCTCAAACCATGCTAGTGGGCATTAGTATTAATGATCTGTCCAGAGCTTCTTCATGACAATCAGGTTAAACGTTACAATGAATGCTTCACACTACAATCTAAAGTTACAGAAGAACTTAAAATGAAAACAGTGTTAAATTAAAGTGTTCAAGTAACAGCAAATGGCACTACTGTTTT